AAAAAAAAAACTATAGAAACTTACACTAGAAGAAAAATGACATCTAACAACGATGAAAATCATTGTAAAATATTACTTTATTATTGTTAAAATTTTTTTACTTACGAAGTTGTTGCTATTAACTCCATTGAAAAAGAGTTAATGCAATGAATATTTTTTGTTCTTTTTGCATGCTTGTCAACAATCTTTTTGTTTCTTAATTTAGTTGCAGTCAATAAAAAATTTCAACGATTAGGGCTTGACAATCTTGAACATATAAGGCAGCCATTTTTACATATTACTAGCATTGCCTCACTTCCATGCAACTCCTTGAAAATGCTTATTTTTCCGCCCTAATATGGCTGTCATTTGACAGAAAAATTTTGTGGTTTAAGGAACCATTCATGGCAATTATATGATAGAAAAAGCCAAAAAAACTATAAAGTTTAGCTGATCAGCTCTTAACTTTATATATATAAAGTTATAAAAGTTATAAATTTAATCTTAAAAATTCCACCGAGAAAATATATACAAAAACAAGCCTTTGATCAATCAATAGTTCAACTTCCAAAGGAAACTTTAAGTTTGGTAAAAGGTATGAAAGCATTATGGTTTGAATTGTAGAAGAAGAAATTATATCTGATTTCATAAATTTTATTTAATTTTAAATTCTCGAATACTATAACAACTAATGAGACCTAAATGTTAGCCTGTTTCAATTAATCAAAATTGTCAAAGCTAGTAACTTGCGTATACTTGATTTTATTTTTTTTATTCATTTTCTTCCTTAGTCACTATTTTCCAATACCAATGGGGAGAAACCAAGAAAAAAAAAAGTCTATAACTAGAAAATTTTGTCAAATTTTCTTTTCTTGTTTTCCCATCAGCATACCATTGTTATTCAATGTTTTGAATAAAAAAGACAGTGGAATTCGTTATTCATATGCAAGAAAACTTTCTCATTTTCATTTTCATTTTTTTCTTTTTATTTTCTTGGCAAATATTAAAATTTCGATGGATGGTGAGCTAGATTTCGATTAAGATACATGATATTATTTACTTGGGACCCATTTGAGGGACCAATGTCATGGCTTTTCTTTGCCAATTTTCTTCTCATTTATGAATTAGATATGGCAGTAATCCCCTGAGTTTATAATACTATTCTAAATTAAATTGATAATTTTTGCTCTCAAAAGCGAAAAGCTGAGCTTTCTTCACATATTGCATGAAAGGCAAATTATTTTTGCTGACTATTTTAGCAAAATTGGGTGTGGGTAAAGATCATGATCTATTTGAGGGCATAGCTCAATGAGCTTCCTTGTTTTTTGTTATAGAGATTCATGTTCCTTTTTTTTTAAATGATAGGAATATAATTATGTTATCTTTCAAAAAAAAAAAACCCTCTTAATTAAATATAGGAAATATTTTGCTAAATGGTCCGAAATTCAAAAATTATAAAGAAAAATATTCGAGAAAAAAAATTTATGAACACATTTTTTCTATTTGAAGAAAAAGAATTTTGAAACTTCTCTTTTTTTCTTTCATAGCACCATTATAGGTGTCTTCAATCTTTCGCCTTTTAATTAGCATTAATTTTATCCAAGAAACACAATATTCAAGTGACTAATTATAAAAAAATAATTAGTTATCAATTAATGTATTAATTTCATCAAAGAAATATAGGAAACGGGATTGAACAAATACAATGAACAATTATTGCATTTAAATTCAAAGAAACGCAATAATTGATAAATCTATAACAAATGTTTATTAATAAAAAATTATCAAATCAAAAAGATGAAAAAAAAATTAAATGTTAAATACTACATTTCTATCCAAAGAAATGCAATAATTGCCATACCTATAAAAAAAATTTATTAAATCAAAAGCTATCAAATCAAACGTTGAAAAAAAATAGACACCTTCTGTTCATGGGAGTAAAATAGAAAAAAAAAATTTTATTAAGATTCAATGTGGGACAAAAGTCACTTTTCTCTGAAAATCTTAAAAAAATTATAAGGAGATGTTAATTTTTAATTTTAAAACTTTGATTATTGTTTGGAATCTAAGATTATACCCAAAAATCTAATACTTTCGAACCAAACGTAAAAATTTGAATACCCAAAAAAAATCTTAGATTTTTCTTAACCAAATGCTCTTTTATATGTAATTTAAAGTTGAAGCCGAGTTTTAGATAAATCTAATTGGATATATATATATATAATATTTTTAATCTTTATTTAATTTTATATTTATATATATGTATTATATTAATAAATTATTATTCAATACTTTAATTTAAAATATTAACTTAATACAAAATACTATATTTATGTGTTATTAAGGTATAATTTATATTAAAAAAATAATATTTTATAAATATTATATTAAATTAAAATTATTAAATTAATTTTTGATCTATTACGATTTTATATATATGTAGAACGAATCAAGTCAAGTATGAAAAAAATAATATTTTGATATTGGATCAAATTGAAATTAAATATAAATTTTATGAAATTGAAACAAGGAAAAATCTATCACAATCCAACCGTTACTATCCCTATATATCATTTTATTTTTCAACTAAGAAAAAAGGGCATATAAATTTAATAAGGTTATTCGTTGACAAGCAAGGCATGCAAAGAGAGTCAAAAACCGGCCAAAGAGGAATCTAAGGCCTCCCAAAAGGAAGCTGATGGTGAAGCACTCACTACTCGTCTCTAAATTACAAAGGTTTATAGCATGTGATAAAGGGGATTTGCCAATAAAGCAAAAAGTCACTCAACCCGCCGCGTTGAATCACTAACTCGGACTGTACGTTCGTCAAATCAAGTAACCCATTTTTGGGCCATGTGTCTCATTTTACGACAAATTTGTAAGCCTTTCGTCAGCAAAATTTTCAGCCAAAGTCCAATCCTTTTGCTTTCCTATTTCACTCATTAATTTTTGTTTTTGTCCCTAATTATCCTCCTTTCCGACCATATTAATTATATTTATTAAATAATTAAAGGGTTTAAAATGAAAAACTTAAAGGATTAGGAACATAAGACCGCTGTATGGGAATTCCTAATTAAAATTAGATAAGATAATACATTTATTTGTATCATGTCTATTTTATATTAAATATATATAAATATAAAAATATTATATTATAATTCATATTAATAAATTAAATATAAAATATATATTTTATTTTTATCAAGCGCATATATGATTTTTATCAAAATTTAAAATCGTATTGCCGATTTTATATTTTTTCGTATAATGTATGAAATTATCAAATTTAAGGATAAAGGTACGTAACTGCCAAAAATGGATAAAGGAAAACTTTTTTTTTTTTTTCCAAATAGCTTTTAGATCTTATGTAAACATGTCTCTTGAATGGTAAAGTGGGGGATATCACCAATAGGCCCTTACCTTCCCCACATGCTATATCAATACTATAATAATTTATTTAAAGTGAAATTTAATTAGACTTCATTCGATGAGGAACTGAAGAATTGTTTAGAATTCATTTTTTTTTAATTTTAAAAAAGAAAGGACATGAATCTTATTTTTTCAACAAATTAAAGAACATGTACTAATTATTCAAGCCAAATATACTCATAGTGTTAGATCTTGCATTATAAATGTACTAATGTGATAAAAGTTTTTTTAAAAATTTCAGATAATTAAATTTTACAAGATAATTGACATATAATATTATATATTTTAAAAAATCATAACTTGAATATAAAAAAAAAATTTACAAAAATTTATTGTTTTGTTAAAAATCAATTTTAATAAATGACATTGCGCGTACACACATATATATATATTATTAAAAAAGTCAAATGATGTGTAAATATATTTATATATATATGCTCATTTATTGCTCATTTATTTCTATATTTAAACTTTCCAATATTTTTCTTTTAACAATTAATTTCTTACTAAAAACTTCTTGATATTGTCAAAATTAAATTTATATATATATATATATATATGTTAAGATGTCTAATGACTTGTCTATATACAATTCTCCTTAATTAGTAAATTCAACCCCTTCCAAGTTGTAACTTTGACAAAGGAAATCAAATTGAAACTCATATTAACATTTGCTTGAATCCATCATTCAGCTAAGTTGATTCACCTAATTATTTTAGTTCACATTCAAAACATATTAAATTTAAATTTCATGTAATTCATTATTTTCAAATAGCAATCTTTTTTATATAAAAAAAATTAACATTTATCCATAAAATAATGCTTTCAAAAATCTTTTCATGAAATCCACAAAAAAATGTTAAAGAATGAAATAAAATAAAATAAAATCATAGTTGTATGAGACCAAAATATTAGTAATTAATATAATTTAATATGTTAAAATTTTCTAATGTTCATAGTGATGGTTTTTGAAGTCAACCCAACAAAGCTACGCCTGTAAAAGCTTAAAAGCGTTTTTTATTTACAAGACATGCTGTATATTTTCTTTTATAAAAAATATATAGTAAGTATATTAAAACTATATATTTATTTTTTAAAAACTATAAGAGATTTTTTAATTGTACTCAACACATTTTTTTAATAGATTGAAATAAATTTATTTATATCAGACTATAAATTTATCAAAAAATATTTTTTTAACCTCTAAAATTTACTCAATATATCTTTTTTAAATCAATTGAAGTAAATTTATTTATATCAAATTTAATAAATTTATAAAAAAAAAATTTTGTAATTATTTTTATAAATTTAAACATAAATAGTAAAAAATACGCTCTTTTTATCACTTTGTACACACCAATATTGGTCCAACCGTAAACGATTTAATCCCTTGAAAGAGTGTGACATATTAATTAAACCACACCGACCACATAAAATATGATAACTCTCTTTTGAATGATAATCTCAGTCAAATACTCGCCCAACCTGTCTTTTTCTTTTCTTTTTCAATTTTCCTCTCTGTCTGTCACAATTTCACCATGCGAGAAACACCATTTCCGGTTCTTTAGTTCTCTCAATATCCCATCACTCTTGCTTTCTCCTGTCTCTATATATATCCGATTCCTTCCTATTTTTTTCACACAATTTTCAGAGCCTGTAATCTGCTTCTCTATCTTTCTCTCTTTCACTCTCCCTCTGATGGCGTCGAGAGTTTTGATGCCAAGCTTAAACCTGAACAATGTTACATTTCCAGGGCACAATCAGGCTCAGTCACATTCATTTGGGCAAGTTTGTTTGCCAAAGAAAACTGGGATTTCTTCATCAAGACAATCGGTTATTGCTAATAACTCTTTAGTAACTCCAGCAGCTATGGTGGTGAGTACCAAAACTTGTTCCATCTTGTCTCATTTCTGGAGAGAATTACAAGGTTCAAACAACTGGGAAAATCTAATTGAACCATTGCACCCGCTTCTTCGAAAAGAGATTATTCGATATGGAGAGTTCGTCACCGCTTGTTACAAGGCCTTTGATCTTGACCCCAACTCCAAAAGGTACTTGAATTGCAAGTATGGGAAAAAGAGTATGCTAAAGGAGGTTGGGATGGACAATTCTGGTTACCAAGTAACAAAATACATCTACGCTACACCTGATGTTAATATCCCAATCCAAAATGGGACTTCTTGTGGCCGTTGGATCGGATATGTAGCCGTCTCATCAGATGAAGCTGTGAAAAGGCTTGGGAGAAGAGATGTGTTGATTACTTTTCGAGGGACAGTTACAAACCATGAATGGCTTGCCAATTTCATGAGTTCACTCACGCCTGCACGCCTCGACCCGCATAATCCGAGGCCAGAAGTGAAAGTGGAGTCTGGGTTTTTGAGCTTGTACACTTCAGATGAAACCGACAGCAAGTTCGGGCTCGAAAGTTGTCGGGAACAGCTTCTATCTGAGGTTTCCAGGTTATTAAACAAGTACAAAGGTGAAGAGTTGAGCATAACTTTGGCTGGTCACAGTATGGGGAGTGCTTTGGCTCTTCTTCTTGCATATGATATATCAGAGCTCGGTTTGAATCAAACCAATTCAGACCAAGATCACATACCAGTCACTGTCCTCTCATTTGGGGGACCAAGGGTTGGGAACTCAAGTTTCAAGCAAAGGTGTGAGGAATTGGGGGTTAAAGTGTTGAGAGTAGTCAATGTCAATGACCCCATTACAAAGCTTCCAGGGGTTTTATTCAATGAGAATTTTAGGGTTTTGGGAGGGAGATATGAGTTCCCATGGAGCTGCTCTTGTTATGCTCATGTTGGTGTTGAACTAGCCCTAGACTTCTTCAATGTCCAAAATCCTTCATGTGTTCATGACCTGGAAACCTATATCAACTTACTCAAATGGCCCAAAAGAGTGCAAATGCAAAAGGAGGGTTTTGATTTCTTGAATACGGCAAGGGAGTTGATCTTGAGTGCTCAAAGCTTTAACATTAATTTGCCATGGAAAGATGCTGCAATCAACATGGTAAACATGGTTCAATCTCAAAAAACTTAATTCTTAGTTAAAAATATTAACCTTAGGTATATAGATGAAGAACCCCGTTGGCCTTATCCTCTTTTTTACCCATCATATATATATAGGGCCAGAAAATAGTTATTAATTGTACATTTAGGAAAAAAATTTTGTAATCTCTAAGAATCAAGAAGTTATCTCAAATATATATAACAAAGTGTAGATTAATGGTTATTATTATTTAAGGCTATTCTCCTTGCTTTACAAAATTTTGGTAGCCTTTGATTCTTCTCTTTTCTAATATAACTAGTTTATTTCTCTTTGTTTAATGATATGAAGTTAAACATGGAAAATCTGGGTTAGAAACCTTGTGCTTTGATGAGGAATATCTCCCTCTCTCCCTGGCAAAAGCAGCTCAGAGAACATATCCGTGCAAAGCACAAAGTACATGCACACTAAGAATTTGGTAATCCTAAATTTTAATTTGAGGACATAGAGTTTTTTTAATGAAATTTGTAAATTTTTTTATTAAAAACAATTACATAAAAATTATAATAAAAAACCGGATTGATATATTGAGAAATCTTGCTACATTTGATAAATTTTTTAAATAAATACTTTTACTAAAACTTTTGATAATGTTTTTACTTTTGAATAAATATTTATCAAATTTTAATTATAAATGATATTTATAATATTATTTAAATTATTGATCTTTCTCATTAATCAACTTATAAATTTTGGGTTTTTTTAATAAATAAATTTTTATGTGGAACTTAACATCTTGCTAAATCCTGTTATAGTGTTATTAGATTCCTTAGTTTTTTTTTTTCTTTTTTTTGGGGGGGGGGGGGGGGGATTTCCTGTTTGTTCATATATACCCCCCCCCCCCCACAGTTTCTGCACTTTTTGTTTTCATTAATGCAACTTCACTTTTTAGGTAAGCTTTTTATTAATTTGGCAGTGTGAAAGACCTCATTTATTGCCTTTGATTCTGCTATGTTGTTTTGTTCTTTCTTCTTTGTTTAGTTTTCTTATTTATTTATTTATTTTTTCATTTTATAGCCCTCTTACCTCATCTTTTGATATTTAAGCTGTAAAAAGTTGAACCCTAGCATCTAAAATTAAAAATTTAACATTTTATCAGCAAATACATTTATTATTGAGTTAACTACTCAACATAGAATTGAAAGTTTTTTATTTATATAAGTTCTCTCTATCTTTCATGGAATTTGCTTGACAATTATATGTAAAACATATAAAAGAAGACTTTATATTTTGATTAAAAAAAAATCAATGTTCAAAATTTTTTTGATATTAAATAATATATATTGAAAATCATGAAATTTAAGTAATGGGTTAAATTTAAATTTGATGAAGAATTTAAAAATTCAAAAAAAGATTTCATAATTAAATTTAGAATTTATATTCTTTAAGATTTATAATGAGGAACAAATATTGATGATAGTGAATAGATACAGATACACTAGATATAGATTAACAAATTGAATCTCCAAATATTTTTTTAGGGCTCCAAATAAGATTTTTTTTTTTTTTTTTTGAATTTGGCACCAAACATGAATTAACAAGCAAAAAATGGATTTTTTTTTCTCAAAATCATAAGATAGACATATATAGATAATGATATATAAATATAAATATAAATATAGAAATTGAAAAACAAGCTTAACCAAATTAAAGCATTTCTAATTAACATAAATTATGTATTCAAAATCATAAAGTTAAAGGAATTAAAGTAAATATTTTAGCTAGATTCATACATAAGATACCCAATCATTTGATTGTTATTTTAGCTAATTCTTTCAAAATTAAAGTAAAAACAAATAGAATGAGTTTGGACAGAACTAAAAAAAAATTTATAAAAATAAAAATGTAATAATTTTAGAGGAAAAAAATTTTCCAATTTGATTGTTTATATACAAACTTCTCTTGAAATTGGCGTTGTTTCAATCATTTTATTTCTTAAAAAGTGAAAAAGTAAATAAGAAATAGAACAAATTAATGAAGCGTTACATACATTAAGATTCTTTCTTCTAGAAATTGGAGCAACTTTTTCAATTTAATTTTTCCATGACTTGTACGCTGCCGTTGTGTAACGTGCAAAACTTTGATGAAATTTTTTAAATAAAGTTTGTAAATTTTTTTTATTAAAAACAATTCAATAAAAAATTTATTAAAAAATTTAAATCATTATATTTATAAAGTTTAGTGAGAAAATTAATAACAAATAAAAAATATTAAAAATATCATTTATAATTTAAATTCGATTAGTGTTTATTTAATAATAAAGTTCTCTTCAAAATTTTTAGTAATACAATCTATGTAATAAACATATTAAAATTTATTAAATTTTTTAAAAATTTTACACATTTAATTTATATAACAAGACATTTAAATTTATTGGTTTGAAATTTTTTTATTTAATCGTTTTTAATAAAAAAATTTTTAAGAATTTCACTTAAAAAATTTCATTGAAATCTTTTCCCAAGAACAAGTGCAAAAATAATTAAACCTTTTTATTTTTCTTTTCTTTTTCCACTTACATATGATATCTTTCAGTTACCTATTACGTCTAACAAAGCAACAGGGAACGTTACCCATAATAAGGGGATAAAGACTTATAAGGAAACAGGGTGCGTTACCCATAATAAGGGGATAAAGAATTTGTCTTCTGTAGTCTTCAGTATGTCTGCTCCACATGCACGATATGCAAGCAAAACATGATTCTTGATTCCCTCTAACTTTTAAAATTGATTGCATTCGTAACGTTAAATTAAGGATTATTATTCTATACATCGATCAATGATAGAGATTTTAAATTTTATGATCGAATCCGTTTGAGTGATTATATGTGTTAACTCAACAATTTTTTTTATTTGTAATCTGATAAACATATATATATGTTAATTATTTAAACTCATTTGTGAAGATTAAAAATTTTATTATCGGTGTATAAATAAAATAATTTTTTGTCAAACTAATCTTTCAAAAATTAACTCAATAAACTTGAACATCAGTTTCATAATTGTAATTCCCTAGCTAGAGCTTAGGATGTATTCCAATTTGTTTAATTAAGACAATGCATCATTAATTAAAGTTACTATCAACACTTTTCATGTATAAAGTCTAAAAATTAATCAATTAGTCAAAGGCATATAATGGAATATTAATGTAAATTAATGATGAAATTATATGCATAGAGAGGAAAATATTGACAGATTTTTATATAGTTCCACATTGATTAAGCATAACCAAAATGCTACGTTTAGAAAACTATTAAGATCGATGACAATTGAATATTAATTCATATGGTATGTATGTTGGTCATATTTTGAAAAATTATAGATTTGAAAAGACTTAGACTCATAATATCTTCCTTGTATGAGTTAAGTTGATAATAATTAAGTAAGACATTTTATTTACTTAGAAATAATAAAATATTCAAAAATTTAATGCGTTTGAAAAAATCGTTTTCTCTTTCGTTTCTCTTTCGTAATGGATGTTTATGTTCATCTCCCCGTTTACGTAGGTCACCAATAGCCCGAGCCTTACATTACTATTTAAATTCCAATCCTATATAATAAAATTGACTCCCTTCTCGCATGACTTCACCAACCATGAAGAATTTCAAGTAGGATTAGTCATGGCATAGCTGTAAAATGGAAAATCAAGCTTGTCAATGGCAAGTGGAGTGATGTATCGGCTGGGATATATAACTTGGTGGGCAAATGGCTATCGAGTTTTTGTGCATCAGCTGGTAGGCGCCCCAAGGTTGGGTCGTCAAATGTACATAACTCTCGATTGAAGATTGAAAATTTTTTTTTTTATTTCAAACAAAGTTTTCATTTTATTTTTTTATCGAACCATTTTCATATAAGAAATAAACTCGAACATTTTGCATATATTCTCAATTTTTTATTATTTTATACAACATGAAAAAGATTTATAAAATAATAATAATATGATCTGATGATAGATTATTAAATTTTAATTTTCGATAATTTTAAATAAAAAAAATTCATGAATGAAAAAGAAGGCAAAAATATTCGTTCACGAGGGCAACTACAATTGAGCATGCAAAATTACGACCGACCATACTTGAAATGAATGAAACACGTGAAAATCGATTGTCTGCACATTTCACTGCTATCCGTAAGTCTTGGATTTGTTAGGAAAAGGTATATTTAAAAAGATACTTAAAAAGTCTAACATTTGATTTAGAAGATTTTTGGCTAAAACAGCAGTAATAATAATAATAAAATACTAAGTTTGTGGAGAGCATTTGATTGGCATATAATGTTTGAAATTATAGATGTCATGTCACAGCCTACACGGTGTTTCAGTAGCCGGAAAAAGTTGGCAGCTTGGCGTTTACTGAGTGCTTAAATTTTAACATTAATAAAAGTTGACTCTTAAATTATATTATTTTTATATTTTTTATTTATATTATTTTTATATCGTATCATATTTTAAATTATTAAATTTATTTAATTTTTTATTTGTTCAAAATCAAAATTTATATATTATACGTTAAAGTTCAATTATTAATTTTGAATCTAAATTTTAATTTAATTGATTTATATAATTATTATTAGAAAAAATTCAATAAATTTAATATAAATTTAACTTTCAATACCTACAACCTTTTTATCTTAAGATTGCAATTTTTTTTACAAAAAAAAAAAGTTGTTCAATTATTTTGGGGTGATGTGTGAAATTGTGATTTATTAGTGAATGAATTACATATTACAAGATGAAAGAGAATAAAATATTACTTTATAGATAACTTTTTAATTTGTATATAAATTAACTCATAAACAATAATCTTAGTAAGATCTTGTTAAAATGGTGTTATTAAATATCTAATAAATATTTAATTTTTTGTAATATTATATTTAGATTCGATCTCTCCATTTTACAGTCAATTGATTTTAAATTGAATACTTAGCATAATATCATAGTCAAAAAAAATTTTTGTTACCCTTTCCAAATCTATCGATAGGCTTTTTTATTTTCGCTTATATGTAATGAAAGCTTATTAAAATAATGTTATCTCAGATCTAATAAATATTTAATTTCTTATAATTTTATATTTAGGTTTGGACTCTTCACTTATAGCCAACTATTTTAACTGA